TACTCCTGACCGACTGCAGGTTTGTCTCGAGTAAGTACTTTCGCTGGAGCGGCTGTGTCAGTAGTTTTTGATCCCATAATAGGATTCTTTGAGCGACTTATGTTTCGTCTTTGTACATAGTATTAAAAAGCAATGAAATCAGTCGTTCCTGGAACAATGAACTCCCATCTGAAGATAACTGCCATTCTTCGGTTCTCGATATTAGCTAGTTCGTTACTCGCTGGAACCAACGAACGTTGAAAATGTACCGTAGACCAGCGGTCGCCAACCTTTCGGACAGAACGGGCCATTAATCTCAAAGTTTTGAATCCCGCGAACTACTACCATGATTCTTTTCATAAAAGTAACATTCTAAATATGAAATGGTACTTACACTTGTTTTTGAACTCCAAGTAATTTGTAAAAAGTTAGATGTCATTAATGTTAGTTTAATAATATAATGGCCTTATGATAATAAAAAAAATTACTGTAAAGAAACGCTGATATATTCATTATGAAAAATGTAAAAAAAACATTTTAAATATCCTTGTATTAAAAACAAATTAACAATGACCAAATATTGAGTGCCCCTCGACACAGAGGTGTATAAAGGATTAATTATAGCAAAATAATCATTGCGACCTTCGTTGCTGTTTGTTTGAAATAAGCTGTTGTATTCTTCGTTCCAATGACATTACTGCAACACGGAGAGCCGTTTGTATTTCTAACAGAGAGTGGTGCTTGTTTATAGTTGCCGTAACTCATAAAAATCATTTTTCACACACTCACATGTTGTTGCTAAGGGAATTAAAATTTTGATGGCCTTTTTACCCAGCACTCGATGCTTACTTTTTACGGAAAACCAAAAATGAGATCTTCTGAGAGACGATTGGAATCTAACTTTGAGACGTCTTCGGATGATAGATCGATCAGGCTTTTTTTCTTTCATGTTCAAATTACTTTCCTCGATTTTTGCAGAAATTGGATCTATTATCCACGCCTGGGGTACTGTTCGTTTGGGTAATAACAACCAAAAGAGTGAGTGAGCGATTGTAAGTGCAATCGAGCAAGACTTTTTATCTGTCGATTGACATCCTCCCTATTTCATATAATCATAATAATTTGGGAATGTTTCCAGATTATCTTCAACCAACCGCGCTTGCCATAGCAAAATCTCTTTTTGAAATGAATTCTCCATTTTGCCTCGTAATGTGAACATGTCCGTAAGCTGCCCTTGCAGTGACGTGTAGAGCTCGTTTTAAAGAGAAAGAATATCTGCCAGCTATGCAAGTTTGGCTACGCAATCATTATCGGACAGGACATCATGGAACCTCGAAATATTTTGTTGTTGAAAGAATAACTTGACTTCTTGGCGAAGATCGAACAATCGGGTTGGTGTTTTGCCCCTCGACAGCCACCTGAGCTCAGTGTGACGAAAACACGAATATGCTGAGGGCCCATTTCTTCATAAAGCGCCTCAAATATTCGAGACCTGAGCGCTTTGTGGCTAATTTAATTTACAATTTTAATTACAGTTCTGAGGATAATCTTTTCGCCA